TAGTTCGGTCGACCAGTTTAGGGCTCGAGATAAAAAAAATGAGTTTTGGTCGACTGATGTAGAGAACCGGTTGACCGAAATAAGCCTCGAAGTGGAAAAAGCTACTGGAATTGGGATTTTTGCTAAATCAATGAAATCTAAGAGAGGTTCGGTCGACCGAAATAGGCCACCGCTAAACCGAAACTGGTCGAAAACATGAAAATGAACATGCTATGCACCAAAACTAAAAAAGAGACTTTAAGCCTCACTTGAATCCCCCATAGCATGATCAAACTTAATCATATGCTAATGTGTGATGATGTGAACATACAAGCAAGTGTAAAATGGTATTCTAAGCATGCTATAATGGCCCATGGCCTTATTACAATTCATTTACAACATTTGACATGTCAAACTTCCAAGTTAGAAAGATGACATTTCAAAGGCAACTCAAACATGTTAACACTTGCATGTGAACAAGAATACATTTAAATGAAACTTCAAATCTACAAATCACCCAAGGCAAGTGCAAGCCTCCAATCTTGAATCCTATACCTAAACAAGTCCCCCAGTAACTTCGAGGTGAGTAAACAAGTTTACTCGTAGAGAATGAACATGCATCGATTCAATTTCTTTAGAGATTTATATAACAATATAAAACAATTCATAAGGGACATGCCACCTAATGTCTATGTCAAAGGTTAGACTCAGGGAGTATCCTAAGCTACCTTAACTCATTTCTAACATAAAACGCACCCTTTATGCAATTTAAACCACATAGGAGCATGTTATACGAGGCAACACAATATAGATTCTTCAAAGTCATCAACTTGAAATCTAAAATGTAAAAATGACAAAAGTGGGTCATGCCACCTAACGTCTATGTTCCAAATAAATTTATAGGATCATTCCTAAACTACATTTGAACAATAAAACACAAATCACCATATCTATACAATTTGACCAACATAGAAGCATGCTATACAAACAACAAGATATAGATTTCTCAAAGTTATCAACTTGCAATCTAAAAGTGCGAAATCAACTAAATATAGCCATTTAGTATAATTAGAATTTCTAATACCTTACATCAAAACATAGATTCTCTAAGTTATCAACTAGAAGTCTAATAGTGTTGAAACAACTAAATTTAACAATTTAGTATAGATGTACTTAACAACATCAAATTGCCAATAGCTAAAACCACAAGTCACAATTAAACATGATTGTCAACTTGGAATTGAATGCGAAATCAAATAGTGGAAGACTTGAACATCACGCTTGGAATTCTGCCGAGACCTCAGTGGTTATTCCGGGCATTAAACCGCTGGGAAGACTACCCTAGTGTGTACTATCTCAATTGGGGAGAACTCATACCTCCCGCACTAGAGCCAAACTCTAGTCATGTCATTTGTAACAAAAATGTCCCAAGACTCCAAAATAACCCAAATAAGTTCACAACTTATACATAATTTATATAATGCATGAAAACACCTTCCATGCGCAAGTAGGTTGAAACTACACAATCCATGCCTTAGAGTTTCAATTCTTAAATGACATACATAATGTCAATTACAAAGTATGCAAATCATTACACAAGGTAATAATATATTCCATAAAGAAAGCATGTTCTCATGAATATAAATTTAACAACAATGTACTCAATGTTTAAAACATAACCAAGTGACCACACAATAAGTCCAAATCCATGATTTAAATATAGAAACAACTTCTACAACATAATTAAAATCCATGGAGCAATGAGATAGAATTTAATTAAATCATGATAATTAAATCTCTAATTTTCAAATCAACTCTAAATGGTCCCAAATTAATATATACTAGTGCACAAGTCCTAGTCATCACAATTATCAAGTTAAAACTTAATTAAATCAATGGAACCTTTAAATAGATTTCAATTAATCCTTTTTAATTAAAATCTCTATATTGTCATACTCATCCAAATGCTCTCAAATTAAAGTATGTTGAAGAACATGCCAAGGCTTAATTTAAAAGTATATTAAACCTTAATTTCATACAAGGTACGACTATGATAATTAATCTTTCACAAAAGAAAAATATTAAATAAAGTTGCAATTCTTTTCCAAATAATCCAAATTTAATATATGTTAACAAACACATCAAAACTTAATTTCCTAGCATGCCACAATTTAATTCTAAGTTAAATACCCTCATGAGAATTAAATCTTAACCATAGAAAATAATTAAATTAAATTCTAGATTCTTAATAAAAGCATGCATACAAGTTGTATAAGTATCAAAACATGCAAGACAACAAAAATATGAAATTATAACATCCCCTACCTCCATTTGAGATGAAATCTCAAATCCCCACCAAAATGAAACCGCTCCGAATCTGACGAAACTTCTAGGTTTTGTCGGGGACAACACGATCTACATGAACCCCCAAGAAGCCCCATCAAAATCACAACTTGACTTCAAACCCAAACTCAAGAAATGGTCAGAAATTAATTCTAATAAGGGGGAAAGGTAGAGCACGTCGAGGGGAATGATAAACGTTAAGGCCGAAGAGTTTTCACTAAGGAAATCAAGTGGAGGAGAAGAAAGAATGAAGGAAGCCCCTTGGGCTCCCATGGCTGCCGGCCAAGAGGGTGAAGAAGATGATGGAAATCTGACTTTTTGACTTAAGACCCCCTATTTATAGAAAATCTCAAAAAGTGCCCAGAAAGGGTCTCGCCGGGTCCGGAAAAGTGAATTTTAAGCAAATGCACTCAAATGACAAAAGTCCATGAACCAAAAAGAAGCATAATGAGAAAATATGAACAATGGAAGAAACGACATCAAAAAATGAGTCCCGAGCAGAGAGATATGCCCCAAACAAGTTTGGCGGCAACCGGTGCCGGAAACCCTGAAACTGGAGAAAGACAACTAGAAGGAAATTTTCTGAGCACACAACTCGATGAAAAGTGAAAATGAATCCCATACGATAATCCAGGCTCAAAATAAGGCATTTTGCAATAACTTTCATTAATTGCACAATGGCCCCTCCAAAAAGTGAAAACTGCACAACTGGCCCAGAATGAAAATATCTTCTAAAAATATTTTCTTAAAAACCCCTGAAATAAAATATCTTCAAAAGATATTTATGAAAAACACCCCAAGAAATGGAAATGTTTCTGAAGAACTGTTCATCCATGCCCCAATGGAAACTGGGAGCAACCAGAGTACTTTCTTACAAAAGTAAAGATACGTATTTTGTGGAAACCACTTAGAATGAAAATATGTGAAGTCAAAAACCAACTCCGAACACAAAAAGTGAGGTTATACCAACAAAGTGACAAACGGGGAAAAGACAAAATAGGAAAAATGACGAAATAGCGAAAAGGACGAAAAGTGAATAGTGTCGAAAACGAAAAATGTGGAAATGACTTGGTCTTCAAAGGAAGTTGTCAATCCAAAGAAAAGAGTCTTGGAAGTCATTCCAGAGCACTCAAGATGACACTAAGCAACGAGAAACTGAACTCAGAAAGGAAAAGACCAACGGAAAAAATATATCCGTAAAAATCTGAGAAAAGGAAAGGAAGGAAAAAGACCGGGTCATTACACCACCTAACGTCTAGGTCAAAAGTGAGACTCAAGGATCATCCTAAGCTACTTTAAAAGATTCCTAGCATACACTACAATATTTATGTAAGTAAACAACATAAGGGCATATGGTGCAATGCAACAAAACATAGGTATTCAAAGTTATCAACCTTAAACCTAAAATACGAAAATAACTAAAACAATTCATTCCACCTAACGTCAATGTTCCAAATGAGTCTAAGAATCATCCTAGGCTACATTAATCAATTAAAACCCAAATTACAATATCAATACAATTTTAACTAATATTAGAACTTCTAATACAACGTATCAAAATATAAATTATCAAAACTATCCATTTGAAACCTAAATTGCGTAAACAACTAAATATTACAATTTAGTAAAAGTAGAACCTCTAATACAACGCATCAAGGCATAGGTTAGCAAAGTTAACAACTTGAAATCTAAGATGCGGAAACAACAAGTTATAACATTTTAGTGCTATTATCTTGTATTGAAAGCAATGCATGCAAGTATACTTAGAACATGTATACTATACAAAAATTTAAATGTCAAATGCCACATCACAAGTTATAAATAATCCATATTAACCAACTTGGAATTGAATGTGAAATCAAGTAGTTGCAGAAAGACAAAGACATACGGTCTCAATGACCAAGCAAGTGATCTCGGGTTACTAGCCCTCAAGGTTCTACCTAGTGCACACTAAACCTGGAATAAAACCGTATATTGGTGTTTTTGGGTTACTAGCCCACAGGGAACCACCCAGTGCGCACTATATGTTGTAGGGGGAGCTCTCATCCCCAGTACTAAAGCCATGCCCTAGCCGTAACATATTCAATGTCTGTGTAAACTTTCTTAAAATCAATAAGTTGTGCATCAAGGTATAATACATATACACAATCACTACAAAAAAAATGACTTTTTACCACGGTGGAAAAGGCTTTCTACCACGGTTTTGAACCGTGGTAGAAACAGCCGTGGTAGAAAGTCAAGACTTTCTACCACGGTTTTGCACCGTGGTAGGAAGAGCCATGGTAGAAAGTCTATTTTCAACCACGGTTCCACACCGTGGTAGAAAGTGGTTCTTTCTACCACGGTTTCGCACCGTGGTAGAAAGTCTATTTTCTACCATGGTTCTCCACCGTGGTACAAAGTCTTTCTTTTTACCACGGTCCATAACCGTGGTAGAAAGTGTTATATAATTTTTTTTAAAAATAATAGTTTAACCCTTATGAAGCCTCTTTTTTTTCTTCCCATGGTAGAAATAATGTGATAGTTTCTACCTCACATTAAGCCCATGGCATAAAGTGTGTATGTATATATATATATTAAATGGGTAATCTGTCGTCCAACAACATATATCACTCATATCCTACTCCACATACACAACCAAATTGCAACCAAAGGCATATATATATACAACAATCACCTAAAATTAATCCCAAACATTCATTAAATAATTTGAAGTACAAAGTTTCCATCATTGTTAAAAAAAGAACAATCACCAAAAATTAATCCAAAACATTCATTGAATAATTTAGAGTACAAAGTCTCCATCATTGTTAAAAAAAAGAAAACCAAGTGCTAACAAAAGATTGCAAAAAGAAGTAGCACCGCCAAGCTTGCCCAACCATCTTCATTCACTGTGCCAACAAAGGATGATCACTAAGGAAGTTAGGCATGTGGTCAGTAGCATTACCAGCATCACTACTAACCCTGAAATGGATTAAAATTAAGATTGTGATCATTGAAGCAAAAGAGCTCCCTTAATTAACATGGTAAAAAACCAATATTGCAGTTGCTAACTAAATGCCAGTTGAACAAACCTTCTACCCAAGGTAAATAACCAATGTATTTATCTTAGAAGCCAGGGGAAAAAAATTACCCTTATGCTAGACAATACATAAGATCTAACAATGAACTATTTGTTGTTTTTATCATGAGCATAAACTCATTATTCTTTTATGGAATGGGTAAAAAAATTATGAACAAACCTTCTACCTAAGGTAAATAACAATGAACTATTTGTTGTTTTTATCATGCATATCTTACATGTCCTATTATTCTTTTATGGAATGGGCAAAAAAATTATGCATTATAAGATTTGCTTAGATTCTCAAAAATTGAGAGGAAAGAAGAATAGATGTTTGTGTGTGTGTGTGTGTGTGTGTGTGTGTGTGTGTGTGTGTGATCCACGTAATACTGGGAAAAATAAGCCCAAATCTTAATAGAAAAATAAAGCCCATTATAATATATTAATACACATGTTAATATACAGACATCAAGAGATATATTACTAATAAAAAAAACTTTCATAACTAACTTTTAAATTTTAAAGTAGATAGAACTAGTTTGGCCCCCCAAACAAAAGTTGCTGGGTCCACCCCAGATTCATAATAAAAAAAACCAAACCAATAAGATAACAAAACTGCAAATGTTAAAAACATCAATCGAATGAACACAAATACTATGCAGTATCCAGCAATGTCAAAAGCATAACTAGATCATTATGAACTTAACTATAATCGAAAGACCTTGGAGCCAACCATATCATAAATAGAGTTCCCTGGGCATATATTTCGATGCTATGCAGGTTTAATTAGGGGTATACAATGGACCATCATTTCCATCTAACCACCTTGGCAACAAATAAAATTCCATACATTAAAAAGGCTCAAAAATTATTCTGCATTATTACATATTATTTGGACCAGCTAGTTAAACCAATGAATTATGTATGTTTTCTAAAAATTATATATATATACAAAAAAATCATTAGTTAAAACATAAAAGGAACCTCAATTGGGGAAGGAAATAATAAATAAACAAAAAGGAAAAGAAAACAGTTTTTCTTTCAATTGTTGAATAAGAGGGCTTTATTCAACAAAGAAAATGACCTTATCTAATTCAATTTTTCTTTCTTTTTGACACTTTTTTAGGACTGAAACTTGGCCAGATTCTTTTAGAAAGTTTAGTAGATCTATTGTTTTTTTATAACCTTTCTTCTCTTCTTTTCAAAGGAAGCGCCTGGTTTAATTAAATACTAATTTATCTTGCTATACCTATTTTGGGATATGCTACCAATAGTAATGGAATCAAATAAATGATCTAGGATGGTTTGTCAGCCATATTATATGGGACTCAGGCACTTGTGTCTTGAGTTGGTAAATGTCAAAGCAGGTAACTGTCTAAGGTTGAATATATCAAATACCTAAATCTGAGGACACTGTTAAATAAGAATTATTATTGCCTTGGATGATAAGTCTTTTATGTGACATTGAGATTCATATCTACATCACCTTCTACTTTAGCACAGAGGTCATGTATTCTAGTACCAAATGGTGATTTAAGGGACTGACCTAACTCTAATTAATTTCTCACATTCAAAAACAAACTCACTTTTGATCTAAAGCTCACCTTATCACCACCACGTACATATGGTTCGGTTCTTAGGCGCATTTTTTATTCTTTATTTTTGCCTCACATTTGCTTTTATATACACTGCCATAAATTGAAGCTCAATTTCAACCTCTCATAGACAAAATAAATGACGACCACACACTTGCACACCATTCATTTGGACGCCAGTGTTTTAAAGTTTAGAAACAACTATATTTTCATTGTTGGCTATTCAAGTGTATTAATAAGCATAATGAGGATATGTTTCATAGTTTTTGGATGTTTTTCTTTTGGTATATTTTTCTTAATTACGAAAGCACTAAGAACTTTCACTTATTTAAATTCAGATGTACTTTTTTTATTCAAGAACAAACATCATACAATCACAAAATATTCCACTATAGCAAAAAAAAAAAAAAAAAAAAGACGAGAATTTATTATGAGAGAAAGCAATCATTAGACTAAGAAAAACCCAATCGCACCATGACCTCTCTGAACCAGTAGTTCCACCCCCTCCGCCTTTATAACAAAAAACAGCACAACAGCAGAATCTGAACATATAAACGCCCAAAAAGCTAATAAAAGAAAGACATGCAAAATGGTAACACTACGGTTAAGCAAGCAACTCATGCTAACATAGTTATTATTAAAGTGACTGGGATCACATTATAACTTAGCAGGCACAAACAAATACACACAAAATAATTACAATATTATAAAGAGAAGAAGAAGCCTTCACCACTTCTAGGGGAAACTATATATCACTACTTGGTAACACTTCAGTTTTTAATTTTAAATTTCACATAAAGAAATTGGCAGACTGTGTTGGCACATTGATTGGATTGGGAAAACATCACTTTGTTCTATCAGATACCCACAATAAAAATCAACAAAAAAAAACTACGAAGGAGTCCACTAACAAAAATTATAGAGATGTACAAAAGTTTACCTCGGAAACAAACTTTGCAAACAAGATTTAAAGCTCACCAAAATGAAGATGAAGCACATTCTGTCAGAAACAAAGGAAAAGAAAAAAATATGGATCAGATTAGTTCGCACTAAGGTTTCATGAACTTCCTACAGTAAACAAATAAATTAGAAGGAAGCCCAAAAATCTGTTTGAAACAGTTTTTCCTAGCAAAACCTACTTCCCTTTGAAAATTCATAAAAAAATAAATTCTCAACCAATTTGCATGAAACTAATGTCCATTGGAAGCTTAAAGACTATATTTTTCTTCTATCAATTTAAATCAATAAATTTTCTTACCGATTAAATCAAGTTTGAAGGAAAAGATATGAAAAATTATGCTCACAAAACAGTTTTGACAGCATGTTAACATCAACTTTGAAAATCCATAATAATTTCAAAATTCAATCAATTTGAGCCAAACAAAAGCCTGTAAACTCATTAACAATTGTATTTTCATATCCAAAATTTAATTAAAGATAACAGTGCTAAGTATAGAGATTTGAGTTCTAGAATCAGCATGTTTGGTTTCATTTTCCAACACAACTCTTCATTTAAATTCTAACACTTCTTCAATTAATTTCACTCCACTAACAAGAAGGTCGAAACCTACCATACCTATAATCTATATATGTCATAAAATCGAGTGGTTTGATGATAAAACTGTACTAATCCATTTTTTAAAATCGTCAATCGATAAGGAAAAATAAAAATTGAAAAACCATCAAGTCCAACTTTCAAAACGCAGCAATCCACCCATAAAGTATCTCTGAAGATTCCTCTCAATAATTAAACAAATATATAATCTATCTTAATTTAGTTGAAATTTGAACCAGAAATGTACTCTTTGAAAAAAAAAAAAATAAATAAAATAAAATAAAATCTAGAAATGTACTCTGAATTCTGAAATCTATATACTACATGCCCCAAATAGAAGGAAAAGAAACGTCGCCGCCCCACCCTAACCCCAGTTTTGTACTATACATCAAAGAAAAAAGCTTGGTGGTTATAACTTCACATCTTTTTAATGGAGCAAATTGTTTATAGAGAAATGTTGGAACAAATTCATCCTTTAGAACAAGGCAATTTATATAGATTTATTTGAAACGAAAACTATGTAAGGAGATATATGCATTCTTAAAAAGAATTCATAACATATGATGATGATGAAAAATAATCCACCAGTGCTGTAATAGGATTCAGAACTAAATTAAATTCAAAGAATGAAACTTTAAACTTACATCTGCTCGTTACATGATGATAGCAATTTCCTATAAATGCAAAGCACAACTTTTACGGAGCCAAAATGCTCATTCCTCAAATCCTTATAAAATCTGTGCTCTAGGTAATCAGTAATCTATATAAGAACCAACAATGGAAGTGACTTCAAAAAAAGTCATAGGCACTTTGCCAAGGTTAAAAATTTTAGAGTAACTTTTTTGGGTCTGACAGAATTTTTGAACCATCAAAAATTTGTCATTGGGTTCAAGAGATTGATATTTTCATTGCTTCAAATTCTCAATTGTTTTTGACATTTTCTTAATCAATATTTCCATTATCTTTACAAGATTTTAGAGTAAATATTTGATTTCAACAGGGGGAAAATTTGAATTAAATAAAAAAACTCTAGAAACTAACTGACTATGAGCATAAAGTTAAGAGCACAAGGCAAGGCTTGCCTTTAAATAAATAAATAGATATTGGCTTCTCTTGTCTCTTAATGTGCCAGGAAAATTGTATTAGACTATTAGGTGATAAATTTCAATTTGAAACCGTAACTAGAAAAATCTTTCAAAAAAAAAAAAATTTTGATGGGTTAACTAAAGAATAGTATAGTGGCTGAAAACTTTATATGGTAACTGCAAATTTAAATTTAAATGTTGAATTCAGAAACTTGAATTTGCTTGAGTCGGGATTTTTTATAGAGCCATGAATTGACAATACAATATGAATTGAATTTTCAAAACAATAGCCTCTTAGTGAAAGGGAAGTTAGGCCGTACCTTTGGTATTCGCAATGGATTTTTCAAAGCATAATCACAAAGCTTCCCAATTTTTCGGTCTTTTGGTTCAGCATCCTACAAAAGGTGATTGACATAACAATATCAGAAGCCTTTAAAGGGGATAAACCCTAATTTCATATATACATTAACAAAATTGAAATCCCTAACCTGTTCGTATGCATCCTCTTCAAAAATTGAACTCCTATAGCCCAACTCTAACATCAAAATCACATAGATGAGTGGTGAGAAGAATAAGAATCAAAATTTATGTATCCATTTTAATCGACTGAGTAAGTTTTGTGAACACACACACACACACATATATAAGTGTATAAATAGAGAGAAATAGATTGGAAACAAACCTACCAGCGGTGGTCGTCTGCAAATCGCCGAACACACCTTCGCGTCTCTAATGGAGGATTCCAGATTTAGGATTTCTTCTTTAGGGGTTAGGGTTTGCTCTGATGGTTAACTAAAAGAGGCTTGATGGAAAGAGGGAAAAACATTTTCACCAGTTAGGGCTTTAATCCACCAGCACTGTATGTGGTTTTTTTTGTGTGGGTGTGTGGATTTGTCTCTGAGTTTTCGTTCGATACAGGTTAAGGGAATCGTGGCATAGCCATTCCTAATCTAGTTGCTAGCCCTCGCTCTACTGAATATATATATTTTTTATTTTATTTTTTTGGAGAGGACAAGCATTCAAAGTATCAGCGGGAATAATATCCCCTAATATAAATTCACCTCCTATCGTGGTAGAAAGAGGCCCTTCCTAGCACGGTTCAGCATTAACCGTGCTAGAAATGGCCTCTTTTTACCACGGTTGCACATTAACTGCGGTAAAAAATGATTTCTATCACAGTTTCGCACCACGGTTGCACATTAACTGCGATAAAAAATGATTTCTACCACGGTTCCGCATTAACCGTGGTAGAAAATGGTCTTTCTACCACGGTTCTTGCGGAACCGTGATAGAAAGCGTTTTTTACCACGGTTAATGCGAAACCGTGGTAAAAAGACCGTGGTTAAAAGTTATTTTTCTTGTAATGAATACACTAGTTAACTACTATGCACAAATAAGTCATGTAAAACACACAATATTCATCCTATGTCTTCAAGTTACAATGGCATACGACATGTCAAATATATAATGTGCATATAAGCGAGTTAAATTATAACTTCTACTCCTGAAATACTATAATGTAATCGTATAACAAGTTCCAAATTTACAAGTTAAGCATGAAAACAACTTCAATACCCAACTACCTCAATGGAAGCATATAATGGAATTTAATTAAATTCTCAAGATTACAAAGTAACTACAAATATTCTAAAATTAATATAAGTCAATGGTCATGGCAAGGCCTAGTTTAATATCACTTTACAAGTTATTTCTACCTAAATTACATCTAGGTAAATTAAACTTCATACAAGAAAATAATTAAATAAATTTCTCAACTTTGTGACGACCCTGGTTTTTCAAGCCAGTGCATCCTATGATGAACCAAAGTTTGACTTGATAACGGATCCGAATGCAGAAGCAAAAATAGAAAACAAGACTCTAGAGATGCAATGCATCTCTAAGAAGCCAAAGTGACCTTCGATGAGGCCACGGATCTCAACGAGAACAATGATAAGAAAAAGACCGAACAAGCCCTCAAGGGCAAAATAGTTTTTTCACATGAAGCAACGTCTTTGGAAATGTACATCACTCCAAGACCAAATCGTGACTTCCCATGAAGTCACGGGACTCGAAAGAAAACAAGCGGAAGCGAATTTATGAAAACCGGACAAATTTAGCCCCAAGGGCAAAATGGTAATTTTTTTAAAATATAAATCCGGGTGCCATCAGGCACACCACTAGAAAGAAAGCAAAAAACTAATCAAGATGGACTCAAGAATCGCATGATTCAGAATTCGGACGAAGAAGAAATGATAAAACAAGAAAAATGAGCAATAAAGCTAAAAGGGTAAACTAGTAATTATCCATAAAGATCTGAATGCACCGTTGGATAGATGACAAAAAATTAGTCAAGTTCAAAAAAAATATCGCTCGATTTAGAGTCCGGACGAGGAAGAAATGAGGGTTTGAAAATGTGACGTCAAAGAGGCAAAGGGCCAAGGCATGACAGCAGCCTTGAAAAAAGCTGCTGTGTGATTTTTTTGCAACCTCCAGAATTGAGAGCAAAAACAGACATGAAGATGGCATTTTTTGGAAAAATACGAACAAGAGACCCCCCCCCCCCCCCCCTAAAATCTAGTTTTCTACCCGACTTTGTGGAAGAAAACAAAAAAAATGCGTTGCGAAATGCCCAAAATGCCCCCAAGAAAATCAGGTCAAAAGGGTTAAAAAGCTGATAAAATGCATAACAGAAAACTGAACTTCGCGCGGAATTTCCGATACCAAGACAACATTTTCTGGAATAACACGAAGAAGAAAGCCCCCTAAAATCACATTTTCTACCTAACCATGTCGAAAGAAAAAATAAAACTGTTGTGAAATGTACAGAATACCCCTAGATCAAATTGTGCAGAAAATGTAAAAATTAAATCCATAAAGTGCTCATTTTGTGAAATATGACTCTAAACCTGAAAACGATCATGTACACAAATGTAAATAGTGATTTTGAACGTGCGGGAATGGACCGCGGCTCCCGAAAATGACCGATGCAAAATACAACCCCCCGACGGCCAAAAATGAACAAGAATGAAAAATTTGAAAACCAAAATTAACAAATGATTTCAACTTACCGTTTGGCCCTTGGCCACACTTCATACATAATTAATGAGACCCTATGAAAGAATAAAAATGGAATTCCCACACTCGATGCAAACATTGTGAATCAATAACTTGTCATTTTTCAATATTTTCATAATATTTCATGAAGTCAAAAGTTACATAGGATACAAAATAAACGTTATTGGCCTCCGGCCTAATCTCATACATGTCAAATACATCGTAAAAGGTGTACTTATGTAAACGTTACATATATGGAATCAAAGATACAAGTTTTGACATATAAAGTTACAAAATGACATTTCATTGTAACATTTGCATGAAATAGAAACTTAAAAGCTACAAGTCATCCAAGGAATGATGTGCATCTCGAACCAAGTCTTCGTACCTGAAATAGGTTACGTTCAGCAAGGGGTGAGTATCCTGTGGTATTCGTAGGGAATGAGCAAACATAGACCTAGCATTTTACAATATTATCACCTTAAGGTGAAACATGTCAAATGGGCTTATGCTAGCTAACATCTATGTCAAGATGATACTCAGGGATCATTCTAAGTTACTTTAAAGCATTTCTAACATAAACCACAATATTTATGTAAGTAAACAATAATATCAAGTTAGAAATTTAATCAAGTCCATGGAACCATTGAATAGATTTTTAATTAATTCACTTAATTAAAATCTTTAGATTTTGAAACTCATCCAAATGACTCAAATTAAAGCATGTTATTAAACATGTCAAGACTTAATTTAATAGTATAACACAAGTGAATTCTATGCAAGATACGACCTTGAGTATTAAACCTTAATACAAGAAAATAATTAAATGAAAGGTTTCAAAACCTAATCAAATATTCTCGATTTTATATATATGAAAGTATATGGCATGCTCATCAACAATATCAAGTCAGAAATCCAATGAAGTGAATAGTACACTTGGAATAAAATTAATTAATCTAATTAATTAATTATTACTCGATTTAAAACATCTCCGAATACTCTCAATTTCACATATGTTAAAGAGTATGCTAGGGCCGAATTTAATATCACATTACATGTTGATTTCAAGCTAGATACAACCATATGAATTAAATTTTTGTTCAAGAAAATAAATAAATAAAAGTTTCAATACTTGTTCAAATACTCCCAATTTAATATATGTCAATGATCATATCAAGGTCTAATTTAATAGCATGCCACAAGTTTAATGCAAGCTATAATCAACTGGGATAATTAAATCTTACATCAAGAATAAACATCAATAGCATACAATACATCAAGGATATAAACCTATAGCATCCCCTACCTCACTTTGAGATGAAATCTCAAATCCCCACTAAAAGAAAACCATTCCGAATCCGACGATACTCCTAGGTTATGTCGGGGTCAATGAAGGAAACAACTTTAACCTTTGAGGCACCATGAAAATCCAAACCCGAACTCAAAACCCGAACTAAAAAATGGTTAGAAATGGTTTCTAATAATGGGGAAAGGAAGGCCTAGTCAAGGCCTTCGATAAATGCTATGGCCCGAGGCAAATAACAAAGGGAAGTGAGTGGAGAAGAAGAAAGAAGGTGGGACTGCCACAGCTACCAGCCAAAGGGGGGAGAAGATGATCGAAAAATCTGATTTTGACTTTAGGGCAATGTATTTATAGTAAAACCCTAAAAGTGCCCTGAATGGGCCCCGCCGGGTCCAGAAAAGTAAAATTTGCGTAGACGTGTTCAAACGGTAAAACACCGTGAACAAAAAAAAACCGATATGAAAAACAATAAACAACGGAAGAAATAACGTCGAAAACTGAGTCTCGTGCAGAAAAATATGTCTCGAACAAGTTTGGCGACAACCGGGGCTGAAAACCCTAAAACTGGGGAAAACGACCGGAAGGGAATTCTAAGAGTACACGACTCGACGAAATGTGACAATGAATCCCGTACATGGATCCAGGCTCAAAATAAGATATTTTGCAATAACTTTAGTTAATTATACAATGCCCCCTCCAAGAAAGGGTAACTGCAAAATTGGGCTAGAATGAAATATCTTCCAAAAGATACTTTTTAAAAAACCCCCAAAATAAAATATCTTTAAAAGATATTTATGAAAAATACCCCAAGAAACAAGAATGTTTCCAAAGAAACTTTGCATCCATACCTCTATAGACACTGGGAGCAACCAGAGTATTTTTCTACAAAAGTAAGGATACGTACTTTATGAAAACCACATAAAATGAAAATACATGAAGTCAAAAACTAACTCCGAGCACGAAAAGTGAGGTTGTGCCAAAAAGTGACAACGGGAAAAAAGACGAAAAATGAATAGTGTCAAAAAAATGAAAGTGTGAAAATGACGCAGTCCTAATAAGGAAGTTGTCAATCCAAATGAAAGAGTCTCGGAAACCATTTTCGAGCACTTGAGATGACACCAAGTGATGAGAAATAGAACTCGGAAAAGGAAAATTAAACGAAAAAAATTTATCCATAAAATTTGAGAAAAAGGAAAGGGAGAAAAATGACCAGATCATTACAACCTACCCTCTTTAAAGGAATTTCGTCCTCGAAATTTGAAACATCCAAAAGAGAACCAAATTAAGATCCAATGTAACATCAAACTGAAGGACAGATCATAAAGCACTAAAAGACAACTCTAGAAGTCTCAAGATCAATTGACGGAACGCGAAACTACGAACCGAAGACAACGCCTCATATGAATCGGCCTGGCAACCCAACGTCAACCACCGAGAGAATCCTAAGACAACGAAACGTTAAACACGACAAAAGAAGAGGGCAACAAGGCAGTACAAACAGCGACCAAAACCCGCCTACGATGTGCTCAAATGTGTGGTAGAAATGACAGTGCCTAGTGTCTGCCCACATTTACTTGTCAATAAGGTAGCATTGACGGCAACTAGCACCCGCCCACAACACACAACTTTGTATGGTAGCAGGACAATATAAGGCACTAGTTCATAATCTATCCCCAAA